ACAGGCTGTAAGATAATTTCACGAGGGTAGTCTTGCCCTACATTACTCGGCATCACTCGATGGGGTTGATTCGGATATCATTTTGTCGGTTGCTCGAGCTCAGCAACACACACGAATAGACTAGTGCTGTGTTTCTCGGAGCGGTCTTGAAACTCAGCGGTGTTACCCCGACTGTTTTTCGCCGTAGCAACCGATCTAGGCGAAAAAATCATGGATTCCGAATCGCTGTGTTCTGTTGCATATCCTCGTGTTGTGAAAAATCTAGTCGCCGGAATTCGTCCCACTTTTCCCTATCGATTTGATATCTATATCCTTTGATAGCATTTACCAATACTAGTTATCAATAACGTTCACCAAGCAGCGCGTTGACAATCACGCTCTGGCCTTGGTTGATTTACCGACTACTTATTGCGTTATAGCTACTCGATCAGAAGCCATACCACTCGTTCTTCAGATCTCACCGCAAGCTTGGGATTGCCACAAGGCTTATGAAGGCTGCCTTGAAGACAATGCATGAGAGCTTTGATGCGGAATACGTCAGCTTGCATGTAAGCACTGTGGGAAAGGGGAGATGGGCACATGGTCAACTACGTGGGTTGGTGACAATTCTGGGAAATTATTATTGGGTTTTGCGCACTTCTACCCAAATTTTCAGCGTAAACTCCTATAATTAGTGAGGAAATTACTAAGCTCAGCTAAGGGCAGCGAATATATATTCCTACTCCAGGACTGGTGACACTGATGAGAATCGATAATAAACGGCTTCAGTAAAAAGTAGTTATTTTTGCAGGTCCGAGTTTCGAATACGGCAGCGCTCACTCTTTATAGGGATACTCTTGGTTTCAAGCAACACGATATTGAGAAACAATATTATGCGGATAAGGTGCGCGTTTAGAAAGCTTCATATCTGGGTTCTCGCATAGAGGTAGATTCTGAATTGTCCCCGATCAGCGAGTTTGAAACTGTCATTTTTGAGTGATGTTTACTCACAACGATGAAGTCGAATAATTTTCAATACAACCGTGTATTTGGCGATTGTGGTTTGCTGTTTTGAGACGCCAATGGGGTACGAGAATCTGGTTGCTAATATCAGGAGGATGCCTTTGACATGCGCAAGTACTTGACTACACCGTCGTCTGAGGAAAGTGAAGGGGAAAAGAAGAGTACCATCGGGGAGGACAGTACTTGTGTGAAAACAGAGGTAGAGTGGTACTAGCAGCTTTTGGTGTTGCCTGAATTGTGGCGTTTGGTTGTAGGAGGCCTCATCATGAAGATTCTGCTGAGGAGCCGAGCCGCTGGAGACGATACGCGGAGAGGGAGTCGGTGATAGCAATACTGATTTGCTGATGACGTTTCTATTCGTATGGTTAGAATTGTGTTGTGTTGTGTTTTCGCGAAAAAATGGTAAAGTAATATTAGAGTTTCTTTCTCCCACATATGTCACGAGCGCCACCTCGAGTACGCCCATTAAGCACTAACGCTACTATAACGTTGCAAGCGGACAACTTGCCGGGTCAAGACTTGGCGTTTACTAATAGGATCTACTGCAATGGTAGTAGTATGTGGGGAAGTGGCGAGAGTGTGGTATTAATATATGTGGAGGAAAATATAGTGACGTTTCTGGATATATTAGGTTGATTGAAGGTGTGTTAGAAGTGGTCGGGGTACTTAATATATCTCTTCTGGGTTCCAAGACTGCTGCCAGGATCGAGTTTTGTATGTTGAGTCTAATTCTGGGAGTGCTCTTAGGAGGAGTATATCCAACACGTCGAGTAACGCAGTTTGTTTTTTTGTGATTTGTTGAAGTTGTATTTGGAAATGTATATGTTGTGTATATAATATCAACGAGGTTTGGTTGGTTATATAATTATAGTAATGATATGATCAGCCAAGGTTGTCGAATTTGTGGTGAAATTGGATGTGAAAGGAGTGCGAAATTTGTAGGATGATTTCTCGCTGCTTCTGATGTCATGTGGACTTTGATTTTGCGAAAAACAATATAGTGCTCTTGTTAGAATGAAATTTGATGTTTTTTCAATTAAAATTGGTATCATCGTCGTGGAATCAGAATTTGCTCTCTATAATCGATGGGAAAGTAATTCCGTAAAATCGTTATTGACTTTTTCACTGTTTCTTGTATAGGCGCCGATTTCCGCGACCTCCTACAGCGTGGTGGAATCGAGCGGCCCGATCAGCTCCCCCAGTGCTTTGTAGAGTTGAAGGGCTTTTGTTTCACGATGGAAGCGACGCCTCGGATGGAGCAGGTAGTGGTAGAGGAAAAGGATGGGGTTGGGTTTGTGTGGGATAAGAATATCGTATATTGGAATTTCACCGGTGATGTGGAAAACATATTTCTTAGTTCACTTCGTGGAAAAGAATTGTATTATCGGTTGAGGAAAAATATACGTCTTATTATTCACACCACTTCACGTTAAACGGGTGAAACTTCACGGGTTTCTCTTCTCGAAAAATTCATTCGAATTTCATATATCATTGGAGTTTCACCACCCTAGTGATATGAAAAACACTAGTGGAAAACATATTTCGCGACTACGGCATATCACCGCGAATATCGCGTTTTTCACCAAGTTTTACGACGCCACTTCACGTAAAACTGGTGGAACTCCAATATTACGTGTGTTATTAGTGATTACTTTCATCACATTTCTAGAAAATATAAAAATATAGCGGCTGCTGTTATGGTCATAAAAGTTGATGTCTAAGAGTAAATCAAAACTCATTCGGTCCTACGAAATTGAATTTGGGTTTTCCTCAGGGACGACTCGGGTTGAATCGTCTTCAGAGAGAATGTGCAAGAATAGGTCTTCGGGAGGAAGGTGAGCTGCTCGGAAATTCGGATTTTTTTTCCGGAATAAATTTACTTCTGAAGTATTGCAGTTGATATCGTTGCATAATTGTGAATGTGAAAGTTGCATAAAATTATAGTTCTTCGCGGAAGATGAAAAATTACTTGGAATTTTTTCCATTTTTCTGTGAAGCGAAATTTCGTGTTTTTTTCTGCCGGAATAGTGGGGTTTCACCCGTTTTACGTGAGGTGGCGTCGTAAAACTCGGTGAAAAACGCGTTATTCGCGGTGATATGCAGTGGTCGTGAAATATGTTTTTCATATCACTAGGGTGGTGAAACTCCAGTATAGTAAATATATATCATCATTATGAGTATAGAAAAGTTGCATAAAAATTATTGGTCTTCGAAAAGAAGGTAAATTACTCATGAGTTTTTTGCGAGGAAAATTTTTATGTTTTTTTATTGCTGGACAGATGGAATCGATATCGTTAAACAATTGTGAGTATAAAAGTTGCATAAAAATTTCTCTGTATTCGTTTGGAATTTCTTCCTTTCCTCAGTGGTGTTGACGTTGCAGCCAGCGAGAAGTATATCACCGATGGCATCGCTGAAGATATCAATTGATTTGTGAGTTGAAATTGATTTTTGGGGGGAAATTACACGGATTTTTATAATGGAAAATATGTGTGGTTTTTTGTTCTTGTTGTTGTTAAGGTACGTTCGAGGATCGGGGAGAACACTGGAGGTTGATGCAGATAAGCTCATCCCGGAGTTTATCGACCGTTTTAAGGGGTAATAATTTTGTGGCGCGTGACGGTAGTAATTTTGTGACGGGTTTCGTTGCTACTTTTCTGAAATATTAAGTGGACGTAAATTGAACGATTTTTATGGGGAAAATGATTATAGTTAATGTGTGAAATTTACGGGAAATTACCGAGTTTTTACGCGAAAAAATTACCAGTTTTTTCTGAGTGTGGATGGGAATTTTGAGAAAAAAAACTGCATCGTGCGTATTTTTTTTGTGTTTGAATATCTATTTGTCCTACTGTCGGGTGGTGATGATGGTATGTGAGGTTAATTTTTATTATTGTTGATCTTTTCCCGGAAATTTTCTGAATTTTTAGGCAAGTTTTCCGACCACATCAATGGTTGGCTTTGGACTACCACGGGCAGTTGTTGAAGTTCACGATTATGCAAGCTTCGGTGATGAGGTTGTCGCCGGACCAGGAGGTGTCTGATAAACTGGGTGAGAAATTCCGGAAATGTGATAATTTCACCCGTTTTAAACGTCGAAGATTGTTTGTAATTTTCCTCTTTTTTTCAGGTTTTGTGGCTAAAGAAACGGAAATTGAATTTCACAATGGTGATTCTGGTGAGTTTTAGAGTTGTGCGTATGCGTGCAAAAAGATTCTTTTTAGGCACGGTCAGAGTGAGCTCGTCCAAACCGGTCCAACGGCAAATCTTTGCACCCGATTTCAACTTTGAGGATTTGGGTAAGGGGTGTTGATAAAGAGAATCTTTTTATCTGTGTGAACCTCGGGATAACCTTAGATATGCGGGATTATTATTTCTTGAAAAATATGAAATTATGTAATTAAGATTAAGATAATGATTTTTCAGAATTTATCGTGTCTGATTTCCAGGAAATTGTGAGAAAAGTTCTTTTTTTTGATAAATTTTCCAAAAGTTTCTGTTGAGTATTTATCGTGAAATGTGGTATTGATGAAATCTTCGCTGTGCGCAAAAAGATATCTTTCGTGGTCAGGTATTGGTGGTCTATCGAAAGAGTTTGCGGATATTTTTCGTCGTGCGTTTGCATCGAGAGTTTTCCCTCCACAAGTTGTAAAGAATCTTGGCATTACTCATGTTAGGGGCATGCTGCTCTATGGACCGCCAGGTAAAATTTTCGTATATTTTTCGCGGAAAAAACGGAAAATTTTGCGATGAAATGGTGGAGTGTTTTGCATGGGCGCATTTCGTGTTTTATGAAAAGGATAGGTAATCAGCCTGGTTTGCTGGTTTATACGAGTGGTAAAATTAGAAACTATTTTCTTGAAAGTTTTGGGAAGAAATGGGGAAAAATTGAGTGAATTTCTTTAATAATTGGGAATTTCAACAATTTTTTGATGGAGAAATATCTTTTTTGTTGTTTTTCAGGAACGGGTAAAACGCTGATCGCGCGACAAATTGCGAAATTCCTCAGAGCTCGCGAGCCTAAGATTGTTAACGGTCCAGAGATTCTCGATAAGTAGGAATATATGTGTAATGGTGGAATCGATCAATCGGGCGCGCGCTTTTTTAGGTACGTGGGACAATCTGAGGCGAAGATTAGAGAGCTGTTCGCTGATGCTGAAGAGGAGCAGAAGAAGGAAGGGGATAATTCTCAACTGCATATTATCATTTTTGATGAGATTGACGCCATTTGCAGGCAGCGAGGTTAGTTTATTTTTTACGTGAATTTTCGATGGAGTTTGCAAAAAAAATGAGTTTTATGATTGAGTAATATGCCTTGTGCAGGAATGAGTATATGTTGGCTTTCCTCAGCTGAGCTCGGGAGTTTCCTCACTAGTTGTAGTAGTTTATATGCACATTCGAGTAGAAGTGTACGAAAAATAAGTGACTGAAATTTTCTAAAAATTTTCATATTGTCGGTTTTTACCAGACTGAATTTTGAGGGGCGTATCTTGTTGAGGTTGGGTTGTGTGAAACGGTTGTCGAATTTTCGAAATTGAAAATTCGTTCTGGAAATTACTTTCATATTAGATTTTTTTCTGGAAGAGTATTTAAGATTTCATCCCTTTATGTGAAGGTACGGTTTCGGGTGGTACTGGTGTAAACGACTCGATTGTGAATCAACTGTTGGCGAAGATTGATGGAGTTGATTCATTGGATAATATACTTTTGATTGGTAAGGGAGTGCGCACAGGGAAGATTTTGGATATGCTCATTTAGGTATGACTAACCGTTTGGATATGATTGATGAAGCCTTGTTGAGGCCGGGGCGATTGGAGGTGAGAATATGGTTTTAGCGGAGCGAAGTTTTTTCTTCTTATTTGTATGACGATTTTGGATATTTCATGGGAAAGAGTTGTGAGGCAGCTTTTCGGTGAAGTGATTTTGAAGAGTTGAAATCGATCGCACGATCGATTTTAGGTTTTCTGTTAAGCCAATTCGACATTTTTCCTTTCCGTAAAATGTCGGAAATTTCGCACATTTTAAACGTTGGGAATATTTTTTACGAAAAAATAATGTGAAATTACTCGGAATTTTTGAAATTTTTTGGTGGGTGGAGGAAATTTCCGAGGGGAATTTTAGGTTGTCGTAGGTACATGTCGAAATAGGGCTTCCTGATGAGGACGGCAGGAAAGAAATTTTCAATATTCACACTAAGCAAATGCGAGAACATGGGTGAGCATTGAGCGGAGCGAAGCGATTCATGTTTGTACTTTTCGTTTCTTCGTGAGTATGTAGGTATTTGGGGAGAGATGTTTCGATTCCTCATTTGGCAAATGTGACGCAGAATTACAGCGGAGCGGAGATCGCTGGTGTTGTACGATCGGCTGCTAGTCAAGCATTTAATAGAGAGGTATGAGATTGTTGATGGTTGAAATGAATTGATAAATGTATGTTTTGATTTTCCTGACATATCAAGTTTGTAGTAGTCGAGGTGGTGTACTTGGAAAAAGACCATTGTAGATATTTGTATTTAAGAAATAGTAATTGCTCAGTTGCAAGCGGGTACGTTGAAATGATATATTAATCTTGACGCTGGCTGGCTACTTCAGCAGTGTTGATCCGAGAGGTCGTTGTTGTTGTGATGTGTTTATGGGGACTTTCTTATCGATTTAACTCGTTCTTCATTTCGCACTTTATTTGATTGGACGATCGGTGAGTAGTGAGTAGTAAGGGATGGGTATTTCTTAGGTCAATTTGAATACCATATCGACTGGTGAGATAAAGACTAAGAATCTCGAGGAAATCAAAGTCACAGCGGACGACTTCGAGTTGGCCTTGGATGAGGTGGGTTGATGGTATAGAAAAGGGAATGTGGCTTGATGTTGACGTTGTTTAAATGATGAGCACTATATTGGGATCAAGGACTACATGTATAACTGCTGTATAGCTGCTGTGCTCGCCGACTTCATTTTCTTTCACTGAGCTCAGCTTGGAGGTGATGATATTACGAAGGGTCAGGTTAAACCGGCGTTCGGACAAGACACTGTGGATTTGGACAGCTGTATTAAATACGACATAGTACCGTTTTGTGCGGAGGTTACTGAGAACATCAGCGATATGGGTGGGTAAGGTGTGCTTAGTGGTGAGAGAGGTGGGCTTGCTTCAGATCATATCATTAACGAGTTGAA